TTTAAGAGCTCGTAAATAAGTAATTAATTTTATTAAAATAAGTAATTTATTAAAATCTGTCACTTCTCTCATTTATTAAACAACATTGAGTTAAACTAAATAATGTCAATAATCTGTCTATTTGTACCCCTAATAATATTATGAAAATACTATTTTTTTCTTCTTTAATTTTATTGAAATGTAGGGAATAAAACGAAATAATCAACATTCCAAGTTTGCTCGTAAAAATCGCTGTATAAAAATAAATAAATAATCAATTAATCAATGAATTCATAAATAAAAATGGTAAAAGGTCCGTTATTTGAAAGCGAAACATCATTGATTTATTTTAATTAAATGATTATTTTACTGCAAAACATACATCTACAATTTATTTAAGAACAATACAAATTTTTGTTCGAAAAAATTAAGCAATGGCAAAAAGTTTTTGATCAGCAATATTAGACAGTATTGAAATTTTTACACTGATCTACCTCAAGCCTGTTTACATTGCTTTAGTTTTTCAAATAAATCGTACTCAAATATTTTCTTTGATAAATTTTCAGGAGCCTCGTGATCTCCTAATGTAAACATATCATTAGATGCTACCATTGGATAGCTACTCAGCAAGTGTTTTTCATGTCATTATATACATTATGTTCTAATTTACTAGATGTATTTATTTAATACAGTTGTAAATGTCTTTAAGAAATAAAAAAAATTTCAGGAAAATAAATCTAATTCAATTTTTTTTTGGTTTCTACATGAATATATGTAAAAATATAAAAACTTTTCTGAAATAGGTTGGAAAGTCGTGTGAGTGGACACACCAGATTTTTTATTTTACTCATTTATTTTTTGCTAAAACTGATCCAAAGATTTTATTATTAGAGAGTATTAATCAGGTAAAAATCACTATCGAAAACGTTCTTTGGCAAATGCTTCTAATCTATGTTGGCAAAGCTTCGTTCAAGAAAGTACATTCGCATGCCCTCTATTCGGAATAAAGTTTCTCTAATCCTTTGTAATGATATTAGAAGAACGACTAACGATTTTGAAGAAACTTTCGTATCGTTTTCTACTTTAATCCCTCTCAATTTAACTATATGTAGTGGATTTCCGAGAAGAATCAGGGAAAAAGTTGTGAAGTAAAATAATTTTTCGCTCACAACTCAAACGCTACACTTATTATATTATACTATTTACTTATATTATACAAGTAAATTTAACTAATTGAATGTTAATTTTATTTTTATTCAAGTTTGGCATATATTGGATCTGTATATATATTTTAAATATTTATGACACAGCAAGTTATTGTATAAATCTCTGCATAGCTTTTGACGAGAATCTTAATGATTGTGAGAGATCTGGGGACTCTAACCCAATATTTACCTTTATATTTTTATTTTGTATTGGCTTTACTTTTTTTTATTTTTTAGTTTTAGTTTTTTGTTTCTTTTATGGTGAAGGTAGCTCCTTGTTAAGGTAAATGGAATTGTGAATAAGAAAATTTTGTAAGTAAAAGAAAAAAAAAACCAGTCTCTCCAGAAATGACGTAGGGGACACTCTTAAATAACAGGACAATTTATTTTTTCACTGAACAAATTAATGCGACATGGAGGACTCAATAAGACTTGAAAATGGCCCTAGTGATGGTCGAAACATCTTAATAAAATAGCTAATAAATGGTGGCGAATAATGACCTAATTTAAATAACAAATAAAACCTCAAGACCAATGAATAATGAAGAGAAGAAAAAAAAAACATGTATTTTCTGCCAAATAAATAAATAAATATATATATATATATATATATATATATATATATATATATATATATATATCATTTTATTTATAATCCTTTGAAAGGTTTGTAGATTTTCTATAAATGGAAAAAAATCTTCGAAATTGTATCTTTATTAGCAAAGTTACTGCGTTTTGAATTTTACACGCTGATTATAAGTTGATCTCTTTCTTTAGTTCTGCAAATATACAAACGGTTCTCACATACGTTTGCTCATCATAAAATTAACATTTTTTTTAATACTTGGAGGTGTTGATTTCTCAAGAAGTTAATGCTTTTTTTTTTTTTTTTTAATCGACATATTTAAAGAGGTTTAAAATTTTTTTCAATCGGTACGAAATTTATCTCAGTTGACGCTCCAGATAATATTTATATATTACAAAAATATATCGTTAATTTATTATTGGACCAATTTATAATTTTCAAGCGTGGTTTTTATGTTATTTTCAATTTTTTTATTTATTAATTATTTATGAAAATTGGTTGATGGATTTCATAAAAATCAAACACCATTAAAATTATATAAATGTAACTCTTCCGATAAAGTGTTCCTAAAGTACAATTTGGAAACCAATCCTTGCATTGAACAATTATTTTATATCAAGAGAGCCTTTACCACTTTCACTCTTATTGCTTCCTGCAATTATTTATTATTATTATGTTTTAATATTAGGTATAAGTAATTTATCGTAGAAGACGAAAGCTCTCCGCCAATCAGATCGGAGGTTACATAAAGCGTTGTGTACTTATGGTACGAATCGTCCGGTCTTCAAACCTGATGAGCAGCCTTTTCACTCCTATTCACTTCCTGAGAAAGTGGCCCAGACTGCCCCAAGACTTTCTCGCTTCCTCTAAGTCGAGGGGTTACCAACCTCGTTGTAGCCCGAGGCATCTATTAAGGGGCAGGAAGTCTGGAGGGCAACATTTAGACCGGTACTTTATTTCGAACTGAAGATTTAACCGTTTTTTTTTTTTTTGTTGTTTTTTTTTAACCAAGTGGCTTCGAAAACTATAAGATTTTTTTCCTCGTAAAAATGAATATAATAAAAATCAATATTTTAAGTATCAAAAGTCTAAGTCTAAGTTGTCCGAAACTCGTATCTTCCTTCAGTGACGCAATGCACAGGCGGGTCTACGCGAGGGTGGAGGCTTTCGGACTGAAGCCCCCCTCCAAAAAATGGCAAAATATAATCATATTTTACAGAAAACAATATTAAAAACTATCTCTTAAAGTATTCTTGTTCGTTTAATTACATTTAATAGGACTTCAAGAACCACTTAAACACCGTTTCATATAAGTAGTTAATTTATTTCTTCTTTTTTTTTCATATTAATTATCGTTATATGTATATGAAAAATAAATCTTTCGGGCTGAAGCTCCTCCCCTCCCCCCCCCAAAAAAAATAAATTCTGGATCCGCTAATGACGCAATGATTCTTTGAAAGGATTATTTAAACAAGACGCTGTTCTGTAGGTATTTCTCTTACTTGTTCCTTAGACAACTTGATTTTTTAATTTGCTTTAACGTACTTATGTACTTAGAAGTATAATGTATGGATTATTCTAAAGTTTTTTTTTATTCGTTCTTCCCTACCTTGTCTTTTAGGCTACACGAGGTTTTCCCCGGTCCAGGGGAGAGGGCGGGGGAATTATGACGAGTTAAAATTCCCACCCGGTACCGGGATTCGAAATCGTAATATTTTCCATCTAACTTCGGTTATCAGGTTGCCGGGCAACTGCGATGCTGTGCACATGCGCTAGCCCGCTCGGCCACCCCGCTCCTTATTCTAAAGGTTGTCGCCAAAGTTATTATTATTAGAATATAAAAGTCTAAATTCGTTAAAAGTGTAGACTGAAGAATTAAAGCTAATTCAGGCGTGGATCCTAAAGTGCCTGGTTCTAAACGTTGTGAGTTCGATTCCCACCGGGGTCGATTTATATTTATGTCTACTGTGGTAAATACTGAGGATCATTTGGCCTACTTGCCGGAATAGTACACCCTACCAGTGCTAGTATGATCGTAATTAATGTTTATAAATTAACCTTTTTTATAATTAATTTTTTTAATTAGTTTATTTATAATTTAACTCACTAAAGACAACACCTACTCCTATTTACGATAAGAATATTTGAAAAATATCGACGTATCGATTTTTGTCCCGTATTATTTTTTAAAAAATCATTATAATCGTTCTTAGTTATTTAAAATACTGTATTGGAATATCAGGGTTTTTTTTTTTTTTTTTTTTTTTTTTTTGTATTTCTCTATCCAGTGATTTTTTATTTAGAGTAACGGTGATTATTAACAACCTGTATTTTTAAACGTTAGAAATCTTACGTTACTAACCACACATTAGTACTATCCGAATACAGAGAAGTACCCGAAGGTTATGTGAGGTTTATACGCTAAAAGATATGTAACGATATTTTGAGTGAACGGCTAGACTTATTTTCGAGTTCGACAATTTAAATTATTTGGTGAGATCACTATAATGTTTTTAAACAATTGAAGCAATAAAAGATCTGAAAACGAGAACTTGCTGCTTAAAATATGATTGAAAAATCTATTAATTGGTATGTAACGATTTTTCAAGCGAACGACTAGAGCGATTTTTTAGATCGATGGATACGGTGCATTCTGTAGTAGTCATTATTTCTTAAATTAAGTTATATATTGTTTTTAAATGGTTGTAATATATTTTTGTAAAGGTCTTAATAATTCAATAACAGCTTTTGAATTATTTAAAGATAAATAAATAATACATAACGAAAGAATACGTATTATAATTAAGGTCATGAATGTCGAGAATTGCCATTTGCAAAGGATCTGTTTGTAGGAACATAGAAATGGAAGTTAACTTTATGTAAGGCACTTAAATTTATATATTATCGAGCAAATGAGTACACAGCTCATGATTACTAATGCTTAAATAAAGTTTAATAACAATTACCGTTCTTCTAGATAAAAAGCAACGAGTATTATAAAAAAAGATCTTAATAACATATTTTCATTTAACAAAAAAATCGACTAACAAAGATGGATGATTTTCATCATTTTAGATTAAATTTGGAACCATTCTTATAAGTGAGTAGAAAATAATTAGATTATAAAAAAGAAAATGTAAAGAAACGGAAAGGACTTTCTGCTTAATTTTGAGGAGCTAGAAAAAAAAAATTAGAACAAGCTTCACTATGAAAAATATTTATTTAAAATTGGTCAATCAGAGGTTTCCTTTTCAGTAGCAGACGGGCGTGGTGTTGGCGTCGCATTCGATGATGCCATTCCTCAGCATGTCGATGCTGCATCCCCTGCACTTGCCGCACTTGCAGGTCATGCCGTCGCCGCACTTCCCAAGATGGCTGTCCCGTCCTCCGCACCGCTGCCCGGGTCCGGCCATGCACTTCATCCTTCCGCAAGGATCCCTTGAGATGCCGTACTTGCAGCCTTCAGGTTCCACGTTGCACTCCTCTCCCCTGCACGGCTCACACTGGTAGAAGTCGAGGCCGCTTGCCAGGACCAAACAGGCCATAGCTGTGAGGAAGAACACCAAGGAGTACATCTCGATCTTTGGAAGGTTGAGGACTGAGGCCTTCCCTAGGGCTACTGGAGGCTTTTATAGTCCTTCCAGGGCTGATTGACAGATCATTATCGCAATATTTGCATCTCAGGATTAGTTTTCTTTAGGGGAAAAACGCACTGAATTATATTTTCCAAGTCGCCATGAACGATGATCTCTTTAAGAAACCTTTAATAAATGCATTAAACACTCGATTACAAAAAAAGTGTCACCATTTGTAATAAAGAACAGAAATTCTTCAAAGTAATATCTGTAGCCCGCAAGTAAAGATCATTAGCCAATTTTTCATACTTTTGAACTAATTAAGTTTATTTCTTAGTTACTAAATCTGTTCTCCAGGAGTAAATAAAGGACGCCATGACACGTTTTTGTATTGGTTCCGGGAGCAATTTTCCATAACTTTGAGCTATTAAAATTTGTTTCTTTGTTGCTAAATAATTCAATAAAAATCTTTTGCGCGCAACACACAACTTTCACTTACTTTGAGTAGAAATTATTTTCTGGCAATGTTGGGCTATTATAAAATTTATGAAATCCATTTTAAACTGAGCTAAAGCTTAAAGCTTACATATAACAAGTCATTAAAACCATTAAAATTACACAAAAAGTCTATTTATTATATCGACCGTAGGCATTACTCCATTACTCCATCTGCTTTTATGAACCACATCAGTTTTTGAGCCTTTCAGTTGACAGAATGACTAACTCCAATATCAACATTTTTGATTAGTGATATTTCTAGTTGAAAAAGTTTTATCTATTCAAACAGTGAATAAGAAGATTCCAGAGTAGGTGAGATTGCAATGTAGAAATATATGAATGTGAATAAAGCTATAAATTTTCTTGCTAAAAACATCACTAAAATGAAGAATATTGTAATTGGAGTTAGTCATTCTGTCAACTGAAAAGCTGATATATGCCTAGAGAGATTTAAAAGTACATTGAATATTTAACCTATAAATGATTATGGATTATATGACTCTTAGTTATTAAACTTATTTTCCATTGTAAAGTTTACTAAAATGATATTACGCGATTTCCATTGCCTTTCATGGATCAACTTAATTGTAACTAATTGTGCACTAGATAATTTTTCGGAATAAACATCCGATAGATACCTAATTATTTAAATATAATATCTGATATAGAGTTATTAAACTAAAGTAAATGTATTTAAGGTTATAGTCATATCCATGAATTTTTTTTATATTTCATATCTTCTTTCACAGAAGTACAATGAAATAGTATTTTGAGAAATGCTATTGCCTTGATTCGATGAACTTTAAATGCTTTTTTTTTAGCATAAAAAAAAATTAATTGTCTGGGGTGGCGGTCGTAAATAGACTAAATAGTGACAAAACTATTTTATTAAAAGCCATCGTTTCTACCCGACTTTGCAGGTCTTCTTCAGGGCTAGAACGGACAAGATACAAAAGGATATAGAGAATTGTGGAAGTTCCATAGTATTTAGACACAAAATAGATTTTTATAATTTTTGTTTGGTTGTTATCTTCTATTTCTTCAACCCTGATAAAGGCCTTAAACTTAGATCGAAACGTCGGCACAAAATAAAACATTTTTTATAATTTTTAGTTTTGTTTCTCTTTGTGACTGGAACCAATTTCTAACTTCCTAACTATATCACTTGCAGTTAACTATTTATCCACCATTATTTTGACAAAAGAAAGATACAAATCAATCACTGACTTGTTGATTACTGAGTCTAAAATAAAACGATAATGAAGGTGAAATGTTTAAGAGTAATTCGTCTTATTTTGCTAATAAGTAAAAAGGATAATTTGAAAAAAAAATTTAAAAAGGTACTCATGGGTACTCATTTAAGAACTAATCTAATTTTTTGAATTAGATTCAATATAAAAGCAATGTGGAATAAATTTCAAGCTTAAAATGAGTCCAATGACGTTATCCATCCCCTATCCACATCATACATTATAAAATTATATATATATTTACAGTAGAAAACATTTGCTAAGGGGATATTCGGGCCTGCTGACTTCGAAAATAGAATCCAGTGCGTTTCTTCCTAAAGAAAACTAATCCTAAGATGCAAATATTCCGATAATGAACTGTCAATCAGCCCTGGAAGGACTATAAAAGCCTCCAGTAGCCCTTGGGAAGGCCTCAGTCCTCAACCTTCCAAAGATCGAGATGTACTCCTTGGTGTTCTCCCTCACAGCTATGGCCTGTTTGGTCCTGGCAAGCAGCCTCGACTTCTACCAGTGTCAGCCGTGCAGAGGAGAGGAGTGCAACGTGGAACCTGAAGGCTGCAAGTATGGCATCTCAAGGGATCCTTGTGGAAGGATGCAGTGCATGGCCGGACCCGGACAGCGGTGCGGAGGACGGGACAGCCATCTTGGGAAGTGCGGCGACGGAATGACCTGCAAGTGCGGCAAGTGCAGGGGATGCAGCATCGACATGTTGAGCATGGGCATTATAGAATGCGATGCCAACACCGCTCCTGTCTGCTACTGAAAAGAAAACATCTGATTGACCAATTTTAAATAAATATTTTCATTATCATAATCGATTAATTCATTTTCTTACCCATGCTTCGCACTGATAGAATTCCTTCTTCGAATCTATTTATAAGCTAATTGAAAAGTCATCGAGTTTCTGTAATTTTTCCTTATGTAGTTCTTTTCTATTGATTTAAAAAAATAAACCCAGATATATTCTAACAAAATGAAAAACATCATTCCTGGATTGGGTAACCTTTGTCAAAATTAATCAGGTTTAGATCCTCAGCAATCCGGCCTGTTTGATATCAGCAGCTTTCGAATAGCAAACAAGGCTCATTTAAAATAAAATACATTTTCCTAATTCACCATGTACGCCGATGACACATGTATCTTATCAGTTGAAAATGAACAACAATTGCATGTCAAACCTTTCAATCACACGTCACAAATCTTGAAGAATGGTGTCGAAACTGGAGGATTAAAATAAATTCTAATAAACCCCATCAAATTATCTAGACACTTCGTCGTAAACCTATGACTTCCTCCTACCCTACAGTCTTCGTTTATAATACTCTAGCTATCCATATTGGACAAATGCGATACCTAGATTTCCACCTGGACAAACTTATAACTAAGAATTCCCATACCAGACTGAAACGACTAGAAGCTCGACGTTCCCGGATACTTCAGCACTTACTAGAAAAACGCTTTAAGCTTCCAATTAATTACAAAAGACTTATATACATTACCATAATAAGACTTTTTTAGACATTCGGAGTTGAACATTGGGCCTCACTATCTAATTCCTCTCTAATCCAATCCGAAATTCGTTGTAAAATCATGAATGCTCCATACTTTCTCACAAATAAAATCATGCATAATTATATTAATTGTGGGTTGATGGTTGACTGTCTCAAATAATGAAGAGAAGGATGGTTGGGGTGATCGGTCAAAAATAAAAATGGCAAAAATAAAAAACATAAATATCTTTCCTAACATAAATATTATTATGATTATAATAATTCCCTGTTCCAAATGTTTCCCATTTGTCCTCAATCCAGGTATTTATCCTTACGTAATAATGTTCAGAATTATCCAAATCCTCTCGATTTTGCCTTGCTTCCCCACCGATCTCTGACAACCCTCGTGACGTGTCTGAAACGAAGATGGCCTCGTGATCTCTTAATTTAGGAAGAAACCAATGGATAGTCTCTCCAGATGTCTTTCCTTATCATTATATTTGTATGAGTCACTTTTAGTAAAGATATTTTTATTTTATTTTTTATACAGTTGTAAATTTAATGAATAAAAAAAAATCCCTAAATAATTTCAATTACAGGAAATGAATAAAAATGTTTTGGTAACATCGATGTTTGACTTTCAATTGTTTTGAGCATCTATATATTTTTATCATTAGAAGCCATGGTCCAAGATCCTTTATGTAGATCACAAATGGTCTTAATTTAAAGAAACGAGAAGGATCTTGTAAAAACAAGGAGGATGTAACGGAATAAGATCCAAAGGATTTGCACAACTACACATAAATATGTAATCTTGGAAGAGATCAAGAGGGATGAAGAAGTTTGTTGTGTCTGATTTATGATTTCTTATTTTGTATTCTAGACTCAGAAAAAGAACTTTGCACCGGTCTCAATACACATAAATATTCATGTATTTATTAAGACTCTTCTCTTCAAATGATACATTTATAGGTTTCATTTATCATTATTTTTTATTTCACATAAAAGAAGTAAATAAGTCATCTTATCCTCCGGCAAATCAATTAAATATATTTCTTATAAATGAAACTTTAAACTATTTGTCATGGGTGATAAATATTCAGGACGCAGTCCTATATTATTTGTCACCGATGATATGTAGAACAATCGACTAACTTCCTTCAATAATTTAAACTATTTGGTTTTATGTCGAAACACAAATACGGAGGAAGAGTTGGTGAAGAGGTACGGAGTGTAAATGTAGAGGAGTAGGGATGGACTTTGGTTTACGGACGAGTTAAGAAAAATAAACAATAGCCAACTGTTATCTTTCTGGGTTTTCCCCTAACATTTGATACAACCATGACACCAAGAATTTTTCTTCAAACTAAAAACCTCAAGACCATTTTACCCCATGCTTAGTATCTTATTCTTCTATTCTTCCTCTACTAAAAATGTTTCTTTATCAGACAGAGCTTAGAAATTTCCTCAATTCGACCAGTATTGGCAGGAGTACCTCAAGGAACAATATTGGCTCTTTTACTATATATTATATAAACACATGACATACCTTCACCTCCGAGACATTGAACGCAGACCCTAGACAAGCCTCTTTTATTTAATTAAGTCATTTACTACACTTAAAAAAATGGTACACACTCTGAAAAATTAAATTAAATCACTTAACGTTAATACTTTGAGTTTTTATTGGCGACAACCAAGTTCCTCAAATGGACACACTATGTTTGAGGAATTAGGACGTTATCTTGGACTTTACTTTGATAGAAATGTGACCTAGGGCGCATATGTCAAAATAAAAAGAATTGTTTTAAACAAATGACTGAGATTACTGTACTCCCTCTTTTATAAATCATCAAAACTGAAGAATTTGAGTGATCAGTTTTCAATCAACGTATAACAACAATATAAAACTACCTTTATATTGTAAAAATAAGTAAAGTATGGGACGCATAAATATTTTAATGTTTTTTCTCTATGCTAGTTTTTTGTTTTTCATGTTTTCGGTCTGCTGTCGGTAACAACAGAAATAACAAAAATATTTGACATTGCGCTAATGTCACTATTAGTCAAGTTAGATAAATTGGAGTTCGGGCAATGGCCAGATTCTTCACTCAAGACATGAGTGTATGCGGCTAAAGTGCTCTCGACCAATATCCGCTGGCTTTAGTACCAGTGACGCGGTTGGGAAAGTAGCGCAGGGTTCTCCTGGAGTTCCCTCGCCTGATTGTATATAGGTATGCATGTGTTTTTTTTTTTGCTTAGTTTTAATTTTCTTATTTTCTAGGTTATTTTAATTTATTATCTATTGTATATACTTTTGATTATTATTTTGTTCTATTTATTTTATTTTTTTGTACATATAGTGTGAATGTCATCCTACCTCACTATAACCAATGTCCAAGAGACAGATTGTTATAATACTCAATAAAGAAATAAAAATAAAAAAAATAAATGCATTTCCCGTAGTTAGTGAAATGTCTAAACGAACCTTTAGAATATGATTTTTTTTTTTTTCATTTCCATGATTTTTATCCCCTATTCTCAACCGTTTTAATTTCAATACAACGGACTCAGTTTCAATTTCTTACTATTTAACAAGTCGTTATAATTTTAATAATGATTAATGTACTATTTTCTTCAAAATCTAAATATTAGATAAATACTTACAGGTAGATACAAAGATTAGACAGTCTTTAAAACTCATTGAAAGGTTTTTTTTATTACCATTGTTCTAAATAAATAAGTTTCTATGAAAACAAGTCAACATTTTTTACTTTCCTACCTGTACTAGGTAAGGAAAGTATTGCAATCGGGTCAAGTTTCCGATATGCAGTTTTCGACAGATCTATACTTTTCAGAGCCCTCTGAGTCCGAAAAACACATTTTTAGCCATTGGTCTGACTGACTGTCTGTGCCAAGATTTTCTCGGGAACTACTGAACCGATTTTGTTTTTTTATTTTGTAGGGTTTGACTACTGATGCCTGTGACAGAAATTCAGTGCTCCATGCGCAATAGCTTGCTCGCAATGAATGAAAAACATGTTTTTCTATAGGCTGTAGCGCAAAAACGGTTTTGATGAAACTTTTCTATAATGTTCTATCACAATCTCATGCATCACACAATCTTCACTATTTCCTCTACTTTTAACAGAAATTATTGTTTGACAATACTAAGCTATGGCAAAAAGTTTTTGATCAGCAATATTAGTGAGTATTGAAAATTTTACACTGATCTACCTAAAGCCGGTTTACATTGCTTTAGTTTACCAAATAAATCGTATTCTAATATTTTGTTAGAGGATCAATTCTGAGGAAAATAAATCTATTTCAATTCTTTTCTGTTTCTTCATGAACATGTGTAAAGATATAACAACTTTTCTGAAATAGGTAGGAAAGTCGTGTGAGTGGACACACCTGATATTTTTTTTTATATTCATTGTAGATCACTACCTGCCTTCTTTTTTATTTTTTTATTTATTTTATTATTATTATTTTTTTATTTTTATTTTTTTATTTTTTTTTTTTTGTTACAAACTAGAGTTTGTACCAAGAGTAGGTGACCAAAGAGTTTGGAATTAAAAGAGGTATATCTAGTTCGGGCCAACTCTTCCACAAGAGGAACTTCCTTTTATAGTATGATATGACAAGGAATAATTATATGTATCCATTTTTAGTATATTAAGTCAATGAGCTGAAGTGACCGAACTATAATGTATCAAAAATCATTTATTCTCCATATCTATTTACAATATTGGAAGATAATGTGATTTTATCGTTGACTCAGTAGCAGATGAATCCTTTGCTGCACTCGATGATACCAATTTCGTACATGTCGGTGCTGCAGCCCCTGCATATCCCGCAATTGCAGGTCGTGCCATTGCCGCACTTGCCGAGGTGGTTGTCCCTTCCGCCGCACCGCTGTCCGGGTCCGGAGTTGCACCTCCATATGCCGCAGGGGCCCTTTTCCATGCCGTATTTGCAACCTTCCGGCCGCACGTTGCACTCCTCCCCCCTGCAAGGCTGGCACTGGTAGAAGCCACGACTGCTCGCAAGAACCGCGAAAGATAGAGCTGAGAGGAGGAAGACCAAGGAGTTCATCTCGTTCTTTGGGTTCTGGATGAGTGAGGTCTTCTCCAGAGCCGGAGAGTGTTTTATAGTCCTTACTTTATCGATTGACAGCTCATTATCTCTGTGTTTGCATCTTGGAAAATTGGATCTTAGAAGTGCATCTTCGATAATAGGTTATTATTAGTTTTTCTAAAAATAATTTGTCCTCTCCTGCCCATTCTTGTGCAAAAGTATGATCCCGAAATTTTATGAAAACATTTATTTGTGATATATTTAATTATTGAAGGAGTTGATTCGACTGTTCTACATGTACCCAAATGTACTTTTAAGAGAACGTACTTTGGAATAACTAAGTCGGGAGGTTCGGGTAACATTATAGTTTATGGGATACAGTTTCATAGATAAATACAAAATTCAAGTTAACATGTAAACAATAATTAAGTTGTTTCTTATCGTTAATAAATTATAAGTATTGGCTTGAAATTAAATAATAATAAATAAGAGAGCAGAGATGGCATTCAATAGTTTAAGTAAATGTTTACAATAGTAATGCAAATAATGATGTACATTTCTTGAAAATTAAACTTTACAAAACAGTCAATTACAATAAATGGACATGATAAATAGTGCAATATTTTTTATGATACGTTATTTTGTTCTAATAATATAGATGCCAAGTGTTTATATTAATTTTTGACCTTTTATAAATATAACCGGATTTTTTTTCCAAGTTAATATATATGGCTTTCGAAAGTAGTCGTTTTTAGTGGTTAAGAACCGTGGTCAGAATGGATGAGTTCTCAAAATCGAATTTATGTTCATGCACGGCTAGTTTCGAAGCGAACGGGGTGCGTGTGGAAAATAAGTGAAAATATATTTTATTATTCTGGGACTGTATCAATGTTGTACTTTTAAAAGAAAATTAGTCCTAATGAAACAGTAAGTGACGCCCTAATACAGAAATTTACGTACGTATATTACGGATGTATAATTTATACAAGTGCTATGGACATAACGATGTTCAATAATATATGTGATGAAGGAATCTAGAGAGATACATAAGACAGTAGGGAAGAATACCTTAAAGTGGTCTACATAAGATCAACGAACTTGGTCACTAACCTTGTTGTCAACATGCAGTCTTAAAAACAATCCCCCATTCCGCTGGTATTCCTCAATGTAGTATCCTAGGTCCTATCCTTTATACAGTTTATGCAGCTGACATCCCAACTTATCCCAACACTGTCATCACCGATGACACATGTATCCAATCAGTAAACAATGACCCATCAATTGCATCCCAAATACTTCAATCACACATAAATCTTGAAGAATAGTGTCAAAACTGAAGGATTGAAATAAATAAAAAACCTGTCCTACAGTTTCCTTTAACAATACTCCACTTATCCCTGTTGGGCAAATCCGCTACCTTACCCTCCACCTGGACAAACTTCTAACTTGGAACCTCCATAGCAGACTGAAACGAGTAGAAACCGCCCGACGTTCCCGACTACTGCAGCATTTACTAGACAAACGCTCTAAAGTTCCAATTAATTACAAAAGACTCATATACATGACTATAATAAGGCTATTTAGACTTACGAAGTTGAGCTATGGTGCTCCACTAAACCATCCAATTCCTCTCGTATACAATCCTCACAATCCAAAATCCTCCGTAAAATCCTCAATGTTCCCTACTTTGTTACAAATAAAACCATAATGACCTTAATGTTTCTTATGTTTAGAACTGTCCCAATCCTGATACCTATCCTTCCATAATAAACTTCCGAATCATCCCAACCCTCTCGTTTCTAACCTTGCTTCCTGATTACCCTCCGAGGAGTCTGAAAAGAAGATGGTCCCGTATTCTCCTAATGTAGACATACCATTAGAGTGCTACCATTGGGTTGTTTCTCAACAACTGTTTTCACGTCATTATATCCATATGTTCAAATTTACTAAATGTATTTATTTAATACAGTTGTAGAGATCAGTAAAAAACAAAAATTAAAAAAAAAAAAGCAATCCAAACCTCCAGTATGGAATTCATTGATACTTTCTTCACGAAATACCATTGAAAACAAAGTAATTATCTCATAGATAATACTTTCGCATAATAATGATGAACTGGATGGTATGAAAATAAAATAATAATTAGTTATATCAGTTTCTATTATTTTTAGAAAAAGCTATAAATATCCAATAATTAAAGATGCATCTCTGCTCTGCTACCCAAGATCCAATTTTCCAAGATGCAAACACAGAGATAATGAGCTGTCAATCGATAATGTAAGGACTATAAAACACTCTCCGGCTCTGGAGAAGGCCTCACTCATCCAGAACCCAAAGAACGAGATGAACTCCTTGGTCTTCCTCCTCTCAGCTCTATCTTTCGCGGTTCTTGCGAGCAGTCGTGGCTTCTACCAGTGCCAGCCTTGCAGGGGGGAGGAGTGCAACGTGCGGCCGGAAGGTTGCAAGTACGGCATGGATAAGGGCCCCTGCGGCTTATGGAGGTGCAATTCCGGACCCGGACAGCGGTGCGGCGGGAGAGACAACCACCTCGGCAAGTGCGGCAATGGCACGACCTGCAATTGCGGGATATGCAGGGGCTGCAGCACCGACATGTACGAAATTGGTATCATCGAGTGCAGCAAAGGATTCATCTGCTACTGAGTCAACGATAAAATCACATTATCTTCCAATATTGTAAATAGATATGGAGAATAAATGATTTTTGATATATAGTTGTTCACTAATTTCTACTTTTGGGTTGAAAATAATATAAAAGTATTAAGATAATTATTTCTTTTCATACCATCATGTTAAAGTGTGTTGCAATCTAAAATAAATTTTGAAGAAAAGGATAGTTGGGGTGATCAGTCAAATTGAAATGGTAAAAAATAAATAAAATTATTTATTTTTTACCACTTAGTAAAATGAACCTTTTCTCCCAATCCAGAGCCGCTGTATTAAAAAATGACACCTGATTTAAAGAATATTAAGCCAGTAACTTAATGATCGAAAAGGGAAACTCATTGCAAAAAATGTGAAAACATTTTTTAACTTATTTATGTGGGTTTAAACATGTAATTGCTAACGCAGACCACCAACGGAAAACTTTACTGCCAAAAAGCCGTATTTTTCGATTTTTTTTTTCACCTAGAGCTTGAAAGCGATGCATCGCAGCGAAAAATGTTACTTGTTAATAAATTACAGAACGTTAAATTGTGCGTCGAACGAGTACCTAAACTTCATAATTTGGTCAAATAGTGCGGTAGAAAACAACGGTCAACCAACGTTGATTTTTACCTAATTTGTCATTTTATAGATTTAAATTTTACCAAAAACTAAGACATATTATAATAGATGGTGCTTTTGCTGCAAAATGAGTTCCCTAAGAAGAAAAAACCCATTATCAAAGTTGTAGTGCATCAAATTTTCGTCCACTGAGTACTAACATATTTATTTTAGATCAATTATGCATCTTAATTCGGGAATGTATTCCGAATTTTGTATTCCTTTATTAAATTCAGTATCTTTCGACACATTGTTTCTCATAACCCATCGCTGCTGAGAGGTGGAAAAGAGGCTTATACTGCATGTAACAGACTCTAAACAAGAACAACTCACTAGAATAGACACCCATATTGTTGAAATACTGCAAATCACACATAGCTTCATTACTAATTTCTAGCCATCGGAAGATTACCGATTTTGTTCGCAGTAAGTGACCTACATTAGAACTGTTAGTGCTCGGTAAACGCAAAATTTCATGCTCTACAAATTTGTCTCTAGGGGTTTTTTGTTCTTAGGGAGATCGTTTCTAAGCTATAGGGTCATTCATAGTGATTTGTCTCAGTTTTTGACTAATTTTGTAAAAACCAGCGTTGTTTGAAGGTGGTTTTCTACCACACCACTTATTCAAATTATTAGGTTTAGGTACTGTTTCGATGCAAAATTTAACATTCTTTAATTTGTTAACATTTTTCGCTTTGATGCATCGTTATAAAGTTATAAATTAAAAACATAAAAATATTGAAAAAAATTGACATTTTTGGCTGGAAAAAGTTTTTCCTTCATGGCCCGCATTAGCAAATTTTATTTTTACATACCTAAATGCACATATATAAGTTTAAAAAATATAAATGTTTCTCACATATTTTGTAATGAATTTCCCGTTTCGATCCCTAAGTTATTTTCCTAATATTTTTTAAATGAGGCGCCATTTTTTCAAATCAGGGGCTTTAGAACAGCAGACAAACTTCATTTTACTTAGAATAACATAGGCTTTCGTAATTTCATTCAAACTTTCGCCTTCGATCATGTCGAGTTTTAGGCACTGGCTCCAGTTGTCTTTTTATCATTTAGAATAGAATAGAAGAAGCAACTTTATTCTGAGACAAAGTCCCTTGAGAATAACAATATTGTTCATAAAATTAACATTACATCTGGCCAAAATGCATATTACAATAAAAAAAAGCACACAAAAAACTAAAAATAAGTAATAACAGAAGGATTTACATAACTATACTGATATATTAAAGACATAATATGAGCAATAAGGTCCTAATACTGCAAGATAGTTACTAAAACAATAAACTATGGAATTTTAAGTGAAATTTGAAAAGAACGACAAATTACTTTTGTTGTCATAACATTGTATTAATGAAAAAAATGATAATAAAAAAATAAATATTTACTTTAAATAGTTTACATATGCACTTTAATATGTTCAAAGAATACAATAACAGTATTGTAAACGTTATACAGGTCCTATATAATCTAAATCATAGGATGTAGATTGATCGGTGAAAATAAAAGAAAATATACATATAGTCGAGATTATATACATATATAATGCACATGATAAATGGCTACCCAGCGTCTGATTGAATTGTAAGGAAGAATTGGAATAAGAGGGTTTTAAATATGGATAAGGATGGTGCATGACGGATTTTAAGTGGGATGGACTTCCAAAAGGTGGTGGAGCGGACAATAAAGGAGTGTTGAAATTTATTTAGGTTCTTTAATTTAAACAATATTAAATTATTTAATAAAAAATCAAAATTTATATTTCTAATTTTTTTTTTTAACTCCTCTCTCTCACCTCTACTAAAGACTTATTCTAATTTCTATTTCTCAACATCACACTCGGCTGTCGATACTTCTGACAGGTGTGAGTGGAAAAAGAAGGATAAATAAAATTCAAAATGATGATGAACTCTACTTTAAATATAGTCAGAACAGCTAACAATGTCGACGTAAATTTATTCTAAAGAGACTTCATCTAAATTTGTTCTAAATGAAGATTGCTATAAACGAGTAAGAACTCTGATTAAGAAACCGAAAATTGGTGTCTGGTATAATTAGAGCATTCAACCGTAAAGTCTTGTGTCCTTAAAATGTAGTACCACGGACTAGTAGGGTAAAGAACAAAATTTCCCACCCCTCACATTTAACCAATTCAGGCATCTTCTGAACAAATAAAAAAAAAAAAACAGATCCACATCACACCATCTCATCTAAATACATACTGCTAGTCAGATTGTAATGTGATAATTTTTTTTTTTTGTGCTGATGAATAGTGATTTGACGAAACGATGACAGGTTATTTTATTCTTTTTCTCCATTTTTGAGATATTAGGAAGTATGTTTGGATTTCACCAATTATAAACTAACAAATGATATTATTCATTACATTCATTTTATGTAGTGAGTAAGGTACTAATGCTAAACTCCTATTCTCAAGGTCCCGAGTTCTAGCCTAGCTGTGGCATGTAATTATTTATACCGTTCAGATCGAGCAGTAGATCTACATCAGGGAAAACTTCTGGGACACACTCAGCCTCTTTAAAGTAGAGTATGCTTAACTAAATAACTGAAATTAAGGCGAGAAACCAGGCGGTTGGTCGTGTCTCGGCCCAAACACCTCCCTGCACGATTGTTCTTGAAACTGTACTTTTCTACTGAACCCAATAACTTCCATAGTGATACAGGTTTTTTTTTTTTTGTATTATGTTCATATTAAATCACTGCTAATTTTAATAGGATGTTTGATAAGGAATGATTATATTAATAAATTTATACTATTTCCGGGTAATGAGCTAAAGCGTTCGAACAATGATATAGCAAAAAACATTTATTCTCCATATCTATTTACAATATTATAATGTGATGTTACCGTCGACTCGAAAATCGAAAAATACGGCTTTTTGGCAGTAAAGTTTTCCGTTAGTGGTCTGCGTTAGCAATTACATGTTTAAACCCACATAAATAAGTTAAAAAATATAAAATGTTTTCACATTTTTTGCAATGAGTTTCCCTTTTCGATCCTTAAGTTACTGGCTTAATATTCTTTAAATCAGGTGCCATTTTTTAATACAGCGGCTCTGGATTGGGAGACAAGGTTCATTTTACTAAGTGGTAAAAAATAAACAATTTTATTTATTTTTTACCATTTCAATTTGACTGATCACCCCAACTATCCTTCTCTTTAAAATTTATTTTAGATCGCAACACACTTTAACATGATGGTATGAAAAGAAATAATTATATTAATACTTTTATATTATTTTCAACCCAAAAGTAGAAATTAGTGAACAACTATATATCAAAAATCATTTATTCTCCATATCTATTTACAATATTAGAAGATAATGTGATTTTATAGTTGACTCAGTAGCAGATGAATCCTTTGCTGCACTCGATGATACCAATTTCGTACATGTCGGTGCTGCAGCCCCTGCATATCCCGCAATTGCAGGTCGTGCCATTGCCGCACTTGCCGAGGTGGTTGTCCCTCCCGCCGCACCGCTGTCCGGGTCCGGAATTGCACCTCCATATGCCGCAGGGGCCCTTATCCATGCCGTACTTGCAACCTTCCGGCCGCACGTTGCACTCCTCCCCCCTGCAAGGCTGGCACTGGTAGAAGCCACGACTGCTCGCAAGAACCGCGAATGATAGAGCTGAGAGGAGGAAGACCAAGGAGTTCATCTCGTTCTTTGGGTTCTGGATGAGTGAGGCCTTCTCCAGAGCCGGAGAGTGTTTTATAGTCCTTACTTTATCGATTGACAGCTCATTATTTCAGTGTTTGCATCTTGGAAAATTGGATCTTAGAAGTGCATCTTCGGTAATAGGTTATTTTTAGTTTTTCCTAAAAATAGTAGACTCCATTTTGTTCATCCTTATTGTGCGAAGGTATGATCCTAAGTTTGTATGAAAACATTTGTTTGTTTTCTATATTTTTCGTGAAGATGGTTTCGCTGAAACCCATGCTGGTGGTTTACAAAGAGATTGCACGATTTTTTTGCGTTAAACATTAATGATTGATATAAGCAGTTTAATATTTTTGGTTAAAAGATTGAGCAGTGTCCAAATAAATTTTAATCTTTTGTACTAAAATGCTCTAAACTTCAACTACTATTGCAGGTCTTTTCTATAATTATCGGATAATGTGTCTTCTGAATATTGATCTATATAATCCTTCGATTAAGGGGTTCCACAGGCATTCAGCTTAGGTGCTACCTTATCAATATTGTTGACGGTTTTCAACTTCTTTGGCCACTTATGGCAACCATTAATCTCGACGTTGAATCTAGTCTTTAATACATGCTGACAACATGATTCGCTACCTAGATCGTTGGTCGTCTGTAAGCCACGTTAAGATGTTCTTCCCTACTGTACTACGTATCTAACTAGATTCCTTCATAAGATACATTATTGATCATGGTTTCGTCCACACTATATGTATAAACTATACATCAGTAATATATGTGGATTAATTTCTGTAATGGGTGTCATTGTTTCATTAGAACACTAATTTGTGTTTAGAAGAAGCACTAAGTAGTAAAGAACGAGCAACGTTGAGCAGGTTAACGTTCGTTACTTTAACATGGTGTCGAAGATATCACACTACTAATTCAAGTAAGACTGTGGGTGCAACTTGTTAGAATGTTGTTGAAACTAAAGCCCGTCTATGCTGATTACATATAGGCCTACTATATCTTTTCTGAATTCGTCTAAAAAAAAAACACCTTTTTATGACATTAGAAAGTCCAAGTGTTATATAATTATATTTATTCCAAATCCAGTGTCGTTTTTGATAAAACTTCAACAAATCATGTAAAATTTAAACAAATCATATACCGAACCAAACCAAACCCTACAAAACTCACTCAGTTTGTTTCTGATTGTAATTTTTTATTTTTAATCTATTATATTATTGAAATGTGCCTGATACTTCTCTATGATAATAGGAACAGCCACAAACATTTATTATAAATCAAATCTAAAGTAAATAAATTCCATAAGTGTTAACAAAATGTTTTGTACATTATTTATTTAAGCTTTTATGCAAATGAAAAATGTGTGACAGGCCTTTATATTAGACCATCGTTATCAGATTATTGACATTCGCCTAAAACTTCTTGAACAGCTTCATCTTATCGTAAACAACAACTTTTTTATTTAGGAAAATCCTCGGAATTAGGGCGTTTTCAATTTGGAGTTCGGCAAACTTTGTTAATTACGTACTAAAAACTGAACTCTCATTTGGTTTCAACTTGAATTATAAAATAATTTAAAGGAAGGAGTTCGGGGTGGCAGTCATAAATAGGCTAAATAATGGCAAAAATATTTTATTAAAAGCCAACGTTTCAACCCGACTTTGCAGGTATTCTTCAGAGAGGTGTGTTCAGCTAGGAGTTTCAGTTAAAACTCCATTAACACTATATTTATTTATTGAATATTTAATAGTTGACCGTTGCATTATACAAAAAAATTTGCCTTTTGGTTTATATAACCTCATTATTAATGACATGTTGGCCGTGGAGATTACGCCAAATGGCCCAATATTTTTGTAGGTAATTGTTTTTCTCGATTTTGTAATTAAATTATTTTACTGAATATTTAATAGTTGACCATTGTATTATAAAGGAAGGAGATGTCCTTTATAATACAATAGTCAACTATTAAATATTCAGTAAAATAATTTAATTACAAATTCGAGAAAAAAAAATTATCTACGAAAATATTGGGCCATTTGGCGTAACCTCCACGCCCAATATATCATTAATAATGAGGTTATATTGACCAAATGGCCCAATATTTTTGTAGGTATTTTTTTTTCTCGATTTTGTAATTAAATAATGTTACGATTCAAGTTTAAAGCAAATAGATATTTATGAGTTTTATTTCCTCAATATTTTAATTAATTAATAGTGATTAAAACTTATTAATTATTTAAATAAGAAAATGTCCCATTTCTGAGAATTATTAATAATTCTATAAAAAAAGACTATATGCTAAGGACTTTAAAATTGCTCGTACTAAATGTTATGGGTGCGTACACATGGAGCTTAGTTTTCGTCATTATATAGTTTTTTCATCAATCTATCCACTTCGAATTCGTGTTTATTCATTATTTTATCCAAATGATTAACCAGTATGATGTGTATATAGCAACCCATTATAATTGGACAGCAAGCTTTTATATGAAAATAAAGTATTTCTTTCTCTGGGAGGGTTAATTATTCATTTTTATGTCAAGTTTTTTAAAACGTGGGGAAAAAAATCAGCCATAGCACTGTATCTAGTACCTATTAAATTAAATATCTATTATACCAGTTCATAAACGCAGACTACGGACGAACGAGTGGGGCTATCTCTCCCCAATAAAAATGTTAAGGGGCGAGAATATCGTTTCATACATGGTAAAATTTAAAAAAAATATTTAAAATTTGCCGTGTTAGAGAGGCGAAAAGGGGGAAAATAATGTCGAAAATCAAATGATTAACTAGTATTATGGAAGATATGGTATAAAATATTTCAGAAACTAAAATTCGGACTTGCATACTGAAAGCGAGGAAAATGTTTATCAAATTGCCTAGTTGATGTTTTTAGTTCTATCGTTTGGTCTAAAGCACACACCTTATTTCATTTTTTAATTTTACATTAAACTTAACCCTTAAGATCCACCCACTATATTTACTCTTCTGGATCATTTATTTGGTGGGCACCTCTATCAATTCATTATAAAGAACTAAAAAGAATTGCTGATTATTCAAAGAGATCTTTGAAAGATCTTCCTACACATAGAACAACAACCTTTTTTCCTTTGATAAGCCTTTCAAGGGTAGCTGTCAAATTATATTCTGTTTTTTTTTGGAAGGCTATTTCTGGAAATAAGGCTATATTAAAGATCGGTCCATAATTAATTCGTTTCTTTATCCATCCCTTAGAGCTCATCCTAAGATGCAAATACATCGATAATGAGGTGTCAATCGGTTCTCTTGGAGACTATAAAAGGTCTCGTTAGGGCTGAAGAAGATACCAGTCCTCCAGATCCAACAGAACGAGATGTACTCCTTGGTGATCCTCACTGGCATGTCCCTCCTTGTTCTGGCTCACTCCCATAGTTATTACCAGTGTCAACCGTGCAGAGGGGAAGAGTGCAACGTGGAACCCGAAGGCTGCAAGTACGGCATCACCAGGGACAACTGCGGAAGGATGCAGTGCAAGGCCGGGCCCGGTCAGCGGTGCGGAGGACGGGACAGCCATCTTGGGAAGTGCGGCGACGGCATGACCTGCAAGTGCGGCAAGTGCAGGGGATGCAGCATCGACATGCTGAGGAATGGCATCATCGAATGCGACGCCAACACTACCCCTGTCTGCTATTAAAAAAATAAAACAACTTTTTAAACTTTTGGTGCTATCTACTTAAAATAGTTTATAAATAAATCTTTTTTATAATATTTCAATTTTGTTTCTTATTTTTGTTTTCTTCCCCATTGCGCATTCATCATATTCAAATACATTATATGCACACACAGGTTATATCATACATAGAGTTTGGTGTGAAGTATATGGTTATAATGGTTACATATTCTACATAAGTTTAATGTTCTAAGGAATTTGTACACAAATATGTTTTACAAATAAATAAGATTATTAATATTTGTTTCATTTTAATTAGATTTGCAACTGTTGAAACGCATCAAGCAAATTTACTATCGTCTTCTTATTTCTTGGTAATTATTTATATTGTGAGCTGGTCTCTAGGTCACTGCCTTTTTATTTTTCTTTTAGGCCCTCCAAGTAACAAGGGGGAAGAAACATAGAGGACTAATGGATTAGGCTGTTCAATAGTTGAAGAGTGGAATGTTATGTGTTTTTAATGTATGAAGGGTTTTACTGTCGTTGTGTTAAGTGTTAAAGATCGGTGGGCGGGATGGCCGAAGGGTCTAACGTGTGTGCACAGCACCACCGTTGCCCGGCAACCTGATCTATAAGACAATGGATTTAAAATAGTCACGAGTTCGCGTCCCGGTGCCGGGGAAGTCTTTTAAATCCCCGTTCTCACCTTCTGGCCCGGGAAAGCCCCATATAGCCTTAAAGCCGAGGAAGGGGAGGACCCAAAATAAAAAAAAGTGCTAAAGATCGAACTCCCAATTTGCTTTTTAATTGTAGTTAATGTTGCCCAAAGTCGCTCAATTAAGTTTTAATGCGCACTCAGTCTTAATCTTGGTCTTGATCTTGCGCAAGACTTTCACCTTACAATGCAAGAGTAGTAGAGTAAAGACAATCTACACAGTTTAACCAATTATTTAAATAAAAAACCTGGTGTGTCCACTGACATGACTTTTCTACCGATTTTAAACTTTTTTTTTTCAATTTGAAATATTTAACATATCAAAAACCTAACTAAACCTCGAATAAAACATTGGAAGAGTTAACTACGAAAGTATATAGCCTGTGGTACGGACTCATTTTATCGAATTATTATCATCCGCTCGAAACTTCGTAAATAGTTTCATCTCATCGTAACCTACATCTATTTTATTTACGAAACATTTTGAAATTAGGGCGTTTTAAATCTGGAGGAGGGCAAACTTTCTCTGTTTAATTTGGTACTAAAAACTCGTAAATACTCATTTGCTTTCTTCTTGGATCGTAAGATAATT